GATGTAGTTCAGGGATTTTCTGAAAGAGGAAACTTACTTATTAAGTGAAGAATGATGGGTCTTTGGAAACAGGCAGAGCAAGAAAGTCAGGCTGCCATCGATGAAATATCTAAAATGTGATCAAGTCACATTTGTAAGGGCACTCTAACCCTCTGAGTCTCGGAAGGACTATTGGCTAGGTTCCTTGGCACTGCCCCCAATTTTCTCAAACAAATCTTCATGATAAATATATACAATGGGCCCTCCCTGGTGGTGCAGCGGGTTAAAGCACAGCACTAAGAAGCTTAAGCCACTTCCGCATGAGTTCCATCCCCACCTGTCCCAGAGGAGATCCACATGGCGTGGCAGACCTCTCCTGACCCACCCGCTGCTCCCCTCAGCAGTGTACTTTGATCATCTGCCTGTTCTGCTCCCCACTCTGTCTCTGGGGAATCCTCTCACCCTCCGCATCTCTGGCCTGTACCCCAGTTCTATATGAATAAATAAATAAATCTTAAATAAATAAATAAATATATATATATAATGCATTTAATGGAAGGCTTTTGAAGTTTGGTGGTAGTGCCTTATCTCCATCTTTCAATCAACAGGCACTTGCTGTGTGACCCTTGCAATCAAGCCTTTGAATTAAGTCCCAGGGGCTCCTAGTGCGCGCCATTGACAAGTTATTGGAAACTGCAAATTTAAGCGCAATGACGTGTAACAAAACCAGGTCCTTGGATAACGTCTTATTCAACATTAAACATCATTGTGATGAAGAGGTGCTACTCAAGGGGCTGCTGTTTTTGTGACCATTGCTGTGATAGTAAAACCTCGGTGAGGGTCCCCCACTGAGTTTCAGGTTGGTCAGCAGTGTCCTGGATGAAGACAGGAGGTCAGGGCGGTAGTGAGGGTTGCAGTGACATGTGTCTTGTATTTCATGTGTCACCATCCATGACATGCCCCACTCCAGATAACAGTAACAGAGCAGAAAATTTGGAAAGCTTAAAAGACTTCATATGGCGTGAACTTTGCCAAGGGAATCAGAACGCTTTCCCTAAGAGATAAATACCGTAATCTATATAATTCAGTAAGACTCAAGAGAACTCCAAAGAAGAGGTAAAATGCCAAAAAGGCAAGTGCAAAGTGTCTTCCTGTGAAGTCAAAGCTTTAACTGATAGACACTGTCGTAGGGGCATTCGCTGACTTTGGGACTTCTGTCCGTTTCAGCGTTTGTCATTTATGAGCTGTTTTTTTAGAGTTGGCAACCTCCTTGAAGGTAAGCAGTAACCAAATATTTTGGTTTTGTACATGCTGTCCATATTTTCTGCAAAGTTTTGACATGGTAACTATCTTGTGGGCAGGAATGTATTACTCAGCCTTCATTGTAAGCGCTCTGCCTGGAGGTTTGAAATAGTTTTGGATGAAATAATTGTAAGGTTGGATAAGCTAATTCAGATTGTCCAGAGTTCCACTTAAATGGATTTATTGCCAAAAAAGTACTAAAGTTCATGAATTTGACATAGACATTGTTAACATACTTTAAGAATTTCCAGCCTGTCTACTTATTAGGCAATAAAGCTGCATTCCTAGAAATGCCTATTCCATCTTGGCAAATAAGTGCTTCCATACACATGAGACAGGCTTGAGTCCCCTGTGGGAATCAGTTTGAAAGGATAAAGGATATGCCCTTTGAAATCTTTCTCCATCTGGTCACAGATGACTTGAGCTTAAGGGGACCTGGGATTCCTCACACTACAGAGAGAGAAAGTAGCACTGCCTGGTACTGACGCTCTGAAACCCCTCGAGGTGGAACTGCCCTTCGTGGGCCATCAGCTTAGGGCAGACTCAGTCACCCTTCCCTTTGGTGGGCCGAAGACCTGCATGGTGGGAATGCCTGGGGCACAGCCACCTTGCGGCGCCATTTTGAGCACATTCGGTTGCTTCCGTGTCCAAGGAGGAGACGTGGATTATTTCAAGAACACTGATTTGGGGAACGTAAGTGAAACTGTGCCCTCAACAAAGTGAATTCCTCTCGGAGGTACTGGAGAGGAGAACCTCACGATGGTTCACGGCACCTGCGGCATCTTACCTGCAGGCCCTTTCCCACTTTAAAACCACGTTCAATTCACTGACGTTCCCCAAATCAGTGTTCTTCATCGGCTCCTTTCCTAGTTTTAGGTTCACCCAGTTCCTGAAATAATCCACGTCTCCCCCTTGGACACGGAAGCAACCGAATGTGCTCAAAATGGCGTCGGCAGGGCGGCTGTGAATTGGTTTTTGGTGCCGTGGTCTGTCTTGTTCGGCGCGGTGTGTTGTAGCCCACCTGTCGTCGTAACGGACCTATAGTTTCACCAGGAAGCCTGAGACTCAGAAGTACCACGAGCAGTGGGGCCGTTGTTGTGGAACTCTACATAGTATCAATACAGAATTATGTGGAATCTTTTCTCTCTGAAAGATGAGAGTGGGGAGAGAGATTAAAATGAATAGGGTCCGAAGTTATGTTTTACTTACAGACTTTTGGTAAGGAAGAATGAGGGACTTCAAATGTGGTCCAAGAAGCTACTTTCCAGAGGCCTAAACCAGCTGTGGTTATTAGCCGTGAAGGAAGCCAGTGCTGTCTAATCTTACAAATTCTGATTTCCTGCCAAATGGCATTTAGAAGCCACTGATAATTTAATTTTCTGGCTTTTACTGTTACTGGAGATTTATTTGGTTTCTCTACTCAGCTCTTAACAAAAAAGTAAATCTTTGTTGAGGGCACAGTTTCAATGTGGAAAAGCTAATAAGGCAGGGATTCTCTACGACATGTGAAAGACCAGCAAGAATAAATTACGGAGAGTAATTTTCAAGGTGCTGTTGTGGGACTGGTACTTGTTTTCACCTAGCCGTACACGAGTACTGAGTTCCAGAAGGTAGACCTGTATTCCATTGTATCTCTACTTTTTGTCGCTAATCTAATTACACAAGGGAACATCCTGGTTTTCTTCGGTGGGGGGTGCCAGGAGGAACCCTTCTCTGCTCTTAGTAAATCTCTGCACTTTGTGTGACACAGCTGCGTTTGCCTGAGGACGTCACTCTTGGCTGCCCTGGTCAGGTATCTGGAGGTGAGGGGGTCTGTCTGGGTGTCGGCAGGAACAGGAGCGGCGGCTGGCCCAGAACATTCTGCTCGCCAGCCAGCGGTCGCGTTCCTTTGTTTGGAGGCTGGCTTCAGGAAGGGACCTGGTTCTGAGTGAGAGTTCACGGAGGCGGGTTCGGCCATGCAGGGTGTGGTTTCCTTAGCTCACTCTGCTATTCGGTCGCCTCTGGCAACAGGGTCCAAACAACTTGGACATGTGTTTGTATAAAAAAAAAGAAACTGGGACTGGTATCCGAAGTGGGAGTTTGGGGCCATTCGGCCGCTGGAGGAGCTGCGGTGAGTACAGGGCTGCTGCTGCCTCCTTCTCCCTGGTTCTTCCTATGGGCGCGCCGGGTGTTCGCTAGCAATACACTGTGTTTGAGGGTGCTTGGAGAAAACAGACTTAATTTTCGTGTTTCCTGTGCAAATTAAGAAGTTGCTATTTATTTACTGGGTGCGAGTTTCCCTTTCAGGGAGGGAGCATATGTTTAAAGAAGCTGAGAGCTAATAGGGACTCACTGTAGGGACCTTTCTGGCTATGATTGAGCTGGCAGAGCTCCTGCCTGCACACTGGGATGGGGGTGTTGTTCCCATGAAGGGGTTCTCAGAAAAATCAGCTGAGCACTTTTTAAAGGATTTCTTTTCCAGTTCATACTTGAAACGTGCCACATTTAAAGCAGCAAGTTTTCAAAATAGTAACTCTTCCCGACTCTGTCTTTTGTCACTTGAGTGGGTGGGGGGTTCTGATGTTGGCATGCGACCCAACCACACCAGTGTGACAAACAGCTCACAGCTGCAGAGCTTGCCGGCACCCATCCCATCGAGGAGGCCAGCTTTATACATCCTGTCTGGCTGGGTCACTCAGGCCTCAAAAGTCAGAACACTGTCGTGGAGAAAATTCTTTAGGGTCTATTCAGGGATTTTAGTAGTGTTCTGTCACATATTTTTTGTAAGTTTTATTTATTCATGCAGAACTGGGGTACTAGTCAGGGGTGCATGGGCGGTGAGAGACTTCATCAGAGACAGAGTAGGGAACAGAACAGGCTGACTGATTCAGTCCATTGCTGAGGGGAGCAGCGGGCGGGTCAGGAGAGGTCTGCCGCGCCATGCCGCTCAGCTCCGGGGCAGAGATCGAAGTCCCCCTGAAGCGGCTGCGCCAGCTTGCCGTGCTGCATCCTAACCCGTTGCGCCACCAGGGAGGGCTGTTCTGTCAGATTTTAAGTAAATGCCAGCAAGATGCACAAATCGATAAGGTTTGCCTGCATGCCTGGCATAGCCTAGAGTCAGCAGTAAGTTTTCGTTCCAGTGAGCTGAGTTTTACACAGGAGCAAAGTGAGGGTGTTATTTCCCCCCAGCCGCCAAACACCGGCAGCGAGGTTCCGGCTCATTCTCTAGAACTTGGCCCTTAAAGCTGAGGGTGCAGGCTTCTCCCTCCCCCCAGGGCCATCCTGCGCGGGCCAGCTAGCCGTGAACGGGACGGACGTGCAACAGCATCTTTCCTTCAAGTCACCACAGCAGGAGGAGTGGCCCCCAAGTGCGTGTTGCGCTTTGTCAAACCCTTTCTTCTCTCTCGCCTGCTCCATCATGGCTCTGGCCTCGATCACATCACTGCCCCAGGGCCCGCTCCTCCACAAACTACAGTCCTGCCCCCATGGCGCTCTCTGGAAGGCAACCCAGCACAGGTGCCTCCAGGTCCCCAGAGACTGGGACTTCCTTGTAGTACCGGATCTGCGGCCTTGGAGCCTGTGGCCTGCCAGGCCGGGGGGCAGTCAAAGGGCATTTAGAAGCCACTGGTAATTTAGTTTTCTGGATTTTACTGTTACCGGAGATTTATTTGGTTTCTCTACTCAGCTCGTAACAAAAACGAGTTCCACGTGGTCATTTGTCCCACCCGCTTCCCCCACAGGTCCCTCCAGCCACAAGGTAGGCACCATGACTGACAAGTTTGACTGCTACTACTGCAGAGAGGCCCTCCAAGGCAAGAAGTACGTGCAAAAGGATGGGAACCACTACTGTGTGAGTTGCTTTGACAAGTTCTGCGCCAACACTTGTGTGGAATGCCACAAGCCCATCGGCGCGGACTCCAAGGTAAGGGGGGCTGGCCTCTCTAGGTGGCTTTCTCTCAGCCCCACAGGGAGGAGGCACATGGCGGGGGTCCCTAGGTGCCTGAGGTAGGACATGGAGGGGCTGTCCACCCAGGCCTCGGACCTCCTTGTCTTGTACATGCCAGTGTTTCCACAGTCCAGTCTCCCTCACCTCACCTCACCTCATTGTCTGTCACTCAAATGGCTCAGACAAGGCCGCTCACCTGGGAGGAGGAGGAGAAGGGTGCAGCACCCCCCAGCTGGCCTTGATGGCAGGGCCCCGCCACCACAGCCACTCACAGTATCCCGTGCTCTGCTCCGTCCCCAGGAGGTACACTACAAGAGCCGCCACTGGCATGACACCTGCTTCCACTGCACCAAGTGCCGTCGCCCCTTGGCCAACGAGACCTTTGTGGCCAAGGATTACAAGATCCTGTGCAACAAGTGTGCCACGAAGGAGGATTCCCCCAAGTGCAAGGGGTGCTTGAAGCCCATCGTGGCAGGTACTGCCCACGCTCTTCCCCGGGGCAGCCAGGGAGGAGGCCCCAAGGGCTGGCTGGTGAGGAGGGGTGACATGCCGCTGGGCGCTGCTTGTAGATTAGCGTATATGTGCACGCATATATCTCCACATGTATATGCGTACACATATGTGCTCGCACGCACGCATACACTCGGAAGTAACGAACACTGGAGAGAGCTGGCTGGCAAGAGAAAGAACTGAAAAGTAGGTAGCGCTTTCTCATTTGGGGAGAGTAAGTGACCAAGCATGCTTTTTTCCTTAGGGTGTCATTGGGGGGGGGGGTCAGGTAGTGGCACGAAGGGTAATGGGGGAGTGGGGACTCAGGCCTCTGATCCTAAAGCACTGCAGCTGGGGCTCTCATTCCTCTGACAGAGTCTGGGAGGGCACATGAGTCATGGTCAGGAACCCTCCTGCCCATAGGCAGGTTCTTGGGAAGCGTGAGGCCAGTAACTGCAGGGCCTGCATTTGCTCACCGCCAGAGGGCCCAGGGGGAGCTGAGTGGATGCAGCCCCCTGCAGGGCCCTGTCCGTGCGGCTATCCAATGGCTTCCCCCTTGCAGGAGATCAAAATGTGGAATACAAGGGGACCATCTGGCACAAAGACTGCTTCACCTGCAGCAACTGCAAGCAAGTCATTGGAACCGGAAGCTTCTTCCCGAAAGGGGAGGAGTTCTACTGCGTGACTTGCCACGAGGCCAAATTTGCCAAGCACTGCGTGAAGTGCAACAAGGTATGTTGCCGAGGGAGTTGCCTGTTTCCAGAAGCGTTCTGACAGTGGGCAGAGCATTGCACACACACTATCCCATTCCATCCTCACGACAGCCCTGCGACGTAGGAATTATTATTCCCATTTTACAGATGAGGAGACTGGGGTCATAGGAAGCAGTGTGCAAGCTGAGGGCTTGCTGACTGCAGCGCTAGAGGCCCACTGCCGCCACCTAGCGACTGTCACCAGCACAGGCGCTCGCCTTTTCTGAGCCTCGGTGTCTTCATCTGTAGCTTGGGGATAATAAGGCACCTGCCTCCCATGGCTGTTGTGGCGATTAAATGAGATACTGTATACCAAAGCGCCCCACACAGTGCCTGGCACGTAGTAGGCATTCAACAAAATGGTTGTTGAATCTGAATACGGTGCTACACTCCCTGGTCTAGGCCATCACCTCTGGAGGAATCACTTACCAGGATCAGCCCTGGCATGCCGAGTGCTTTGTGTGTGTTACCTGCTCTAAGAAGCTGGCTGGGCAGCGTTTCACCGCTGTGGAGGACCAGTATTACTGCGTGGATTGCTACAAGAACTTTGTGGCCAAGAAGTGTGCTGGATGCAAGAACCCCATCACTGGTAGGCTAAAGAGTCCTTGCTAAGTCGGCCAGGCTAGTTTTTGCGCATGGTAACCATCTCTCATTTTCCTACCTCGTCGGTCTCATCCACAAAGGCCCCAAAGAATGCCCTCCTCCCCTACCATTGTGGTCTGAAGGCCCCTCAATAGTTTGGACTCCCCCCCCCCAGGCCAGGTTAGCCTCTGCAACACAGAACACTTCCTTACTACTGCTCACTAACTACTGTCGCTGCCTGCCGGAGTTCACCAGCCTGAGACTGGCAGG